ATTGAGTAACACTTGTGATATATAATTATCTTGTTATTTGTTTTATATTAATGGTCGGTTCCACATAACTTTTATTGTACTTTTGTTTTCTATCAAAAAAAATATTTTTTTTTGGAAAAAATTACTTTAATTTTTGTTTAAAAATTAATTTTTAAAAGAACTTTTTATTTCAAAAATGCTTTTAGAGGAAGTCACATTGAACCATCTTTCTGTAAAAACTCTTCTAATCATAAGAATTAATTTTATAAAATTAGTCGAATGAATCAAAAATCTCCTTTTGATTTTTCAAAATTCATGTCAAACAGGGCAATAAGCTCCTCTTTGGTTTAAATGGAAATAAAATTTTTAATAGATTTTGATAAAAGCTAATGTAATGTATAGTTAAAAATTCTGGATCTTATAAAATATATGATCAAGATTAATAATTAATTTTGACTTAAATTTTAATATATATTTTTAGGTGAACCAAAGAAGGACTTATTTTGTGATGGTTTTCAATCAATCTAATACATAAATATTACACACACAAGACATCGAGAACTTGGATAGTCTAAATAGAGTACTTAGCCCAAACTCCAAATTAAACCCAAATTTAGGGGAGGGTAAAAAAATCGAAAAATTGATCAAATCGAATTGAGTCTAGTCGAGTTGATTTGAATCGGTATAAGCAATCAATTCCGTCAATTAACCCAACAATTTTGAACTTCAAAAATTTAAACTTACAAAATAAAATAATAAAAACACAAAAATAATTATTTCTTAAATAATCTGTCCATTGTCTACGCTTCTTTTACCAAGATTTCAAAAGAAAATAAAAGCATTGGAAACTCCAAATTCAGATTGTAACTTTGCTTTCATTTTGGTATAATTGTTTGTTGGTTCCTATTGGATATATAGGATGATTTGAGCACAAACGATCATTTATCATTTATATTATATGTAATATTGTTATGCACTACGCAAGAAAAAGAAAAGGCTGGCAATTTTCTTAACTCAAAATAGATAGACAATTATTTATTTATTTTAAACTCAGACCAATGTCCAAATCGATCACCTTTTTGGATAATTCGATTCAAAATCTCATATTTTATTTATATGTTTTGTCATCGACGACGTGATGAAAAATAACTACAACTATCAAACATACGCTTTGTATAAACTTGTGTAATTAAGCATCAGTTCGTATTTACTGTGTGGTCAATATACAAGGTTTTCTTTCTATTTGGGCATTTTGCATTATGTTGTGGGTAATCAATATGATTTTGTTCGACGAAATGACTGATAGCGACTTGATTTTGTAGACTTTCGTTGATTGTTGTATACGCAAAGAATGGTGATACGAGTTCTGCAAGGGAGTTGTTTGATGAGTTGCCCGTTTAGGATATGGTAGCATGGAATGCAATGGTGATAGGATTCGTATAGAACACTAAGCAGTTCAAGATGTTCATACAAATTTGAGTTTATATTGAATTTGAATATTGGCAGCAATTACGGTAATTTGAGCAGATTTCCCCTTTTGTGTCCCTACTTCGACTACGAGTTTTAAGGGTGGAAATTACAGAATCACATGTTATGTGATAACTGATTAATAACGAACGAGTGAGTATCCCCACTAAATATATGATCTCAAATAATATTACAATAAAGTTCAATGTTCTCTTATGCGGAAATGTGATTATAAATTTTGTTGGGGTGTTATCACTACCCTTAGCTCTGAAATTAATACAGAGTTTATTGGAAGCACATATTGCACCAGCAAAATTGGAAATGAAGAAGAAAAAAATATAAAAAAAACTAGCAGAAACAGATGCGAAAATCAACAAGAAAAAATGCATATAAATCAGCAAGAAGAAATCGAAGAACAGATATGGAACAGGAAGAATGACTTCCACAGCCTTTATTATCCACAAAAGACTTTACATGATCTATATACAGTAAGAGATCAACATAAAGAATTTGCTACAGATTTTTCCAAGAGTTTCACTCTATCTCACTTTCTATCTACTTTGTCTACAGAATTCTAACCCCTTCTTTCTTTCTTTCTCTCTCAAGCTCTCTCTTCTTCACTGCCTAATGATGCTATTTATAGACACAAAAGTAGGGTTGGCAAAAAAATCCGACAAACCCGATACCCGCGGGGCTCCGCCCGAACAGGGCGGGAAAAACCCGCTTAAACGGGAAACGGGGTGGGGAATTTTGCCCCGGGGAGGGGATGGGTAACGGGGTCCCCGCCCCGTTAAATTTTTTTATTATTATTATTATTTTTTAAATTCAATACTTNAAAATTTTTTTTTTTTTAAGAATTCAATACTTTAAATAAAAATTTTCATTAATTCTAATAGAAAACAGCAACTATAATTAATTGTCTAAGTTTAATGAATATGAGCAATAAAAATAAATTATCCAATGATAGTTGAAGAAACCAGTAACAAAAAGCTCGTCTTGCAATAATTTATCCAATGACTGAGGTATCTAAAATCTGAATCCAAGGAATCAACTTCTTACAAATTTATAATAATGCTCAATTTTCCCTAATACATGAATTTGATATAATAATGAGATGAAAGTGATGGATTTTAGAGTGGCTCTTGTAGGGATTGAAATCTTGAGAGGTGTGGGTTTGTGATCAAGAAATTTTGGGACAATCTTTAGTAATTTGTCTGTGCTGTGAATGGGGAATTAGATGCTATTAGATGAGGAACACACGGTTGTTACTTGATTTAATTTAGGAGTGAAGTCATATGCAATTTATCAATTTTACTCTTATAATACAGTATTAATCTACATCTACAATATATTAAAAGCAGTAATTGGTGAGAAACTTTTGAATACCACTTTTACCCTTACATATTTACCTATATGCCCAATATACCCTCATGGTTTACAAAATGAAAATAATAATAATAATATTAAAATTGAAAGGTTGCATTAATATGTTATATTTATTATATACCATTATTTAAAAGTTGTTTTAATTGACAGTTACACATGAATATACCAAAATTTAGATTAAAAGGAAATATCAAATTATTCAATTTATTACCTCTAAGTAAAATCATTAATAATTATTATTGTTTTAAAAAATTAATTAAATTAATTTTCACTAAACAAAATTATTAAAAATTATTAGTACACAAATAATAGAAACATTATTACATACAATTAAAATATATTATAATAATACTACATATAAAACTTGAACTAGCATATTTTATTACATTTATTAATATTAATATATAAAATTTAGTAAAAAAAATATATTACTTATACAGTTAAACTTTTTCAAACCTAATATTACATATTAAAAATAATATTGTATTCCTAAACAATTCCATTGAAAATAATAAATCAAATCCATAATTGAAAGGGATTGAAAAATGGCAATTTTTACAATTATTAATGTAAATAAATTAGAGGGGAGACACATAATTACTTTCTGTTAGTATATACACTGTAATAAATGTATTTATTTAAGATCATTATGGAGTGTATGTAATAAACGTATTTATTTAAGACTATTATAGCTATAAAAATCAATCTTTCTCATATAAAAATCAATCTTTCTCATTCTACTTCATCCTCAAAATTTATAACTAAAAATCTGGGCGAAAATGTAAGAACGGTTGTCAATGAAAGCAATTTATCATGTGTTAGAGCTTCTCAAAACTCGAGAATGGCCTAGATGATGCTCATGTATGTGAATATATTAATGTTGGGCATTGGATTTTTGGTATTCATTTAAGTGTAGTGTTCATTGTTTTATATTTATATTAATCAAATTAAGTTTAATTACTTAAATTAAGTTTAATACATAACATCGAACCTCACATATATAGATGTAATTTTATTATAATTACTAGTGGAGGGACGTGCAATGCACGTCTTTGAGTTTATTTCGGTACTAAATAGCGTATAACGAATGTAGTAGAAAAAATTTTAATTAGACAATTAATAATAAGGTATATAAATTTTAAGTTATGGCACTAACTTAAAATTTTTTTTGACAAATTGTTACCAACTAAAATCAATTACCAAGAAACAAAATTTCCTTACATAAAATATAGTTCATACATTGCGCAATCATAAGAAGTAGAGTACAAAATACTTCTTCGTATCCAAACCAAAAAACTACAGAGAAATGGTTTTAATAAGTAGAAATAAATTATTTCAGTTAATTTCAATGTTTTGTACAAATAATTTTATACACCATAATTAACTTACCATGTTGGCTTATCTTTTTAGACTTAGCGAGTTCATACACCAAATGAATTAAAAGGCTATACTACTAAATGAATTTAAAGGCCTTTTGCAGTTAACAATATTACTAAATGAATTAAAAGGCCATACTGAGTATAACAAATCATGTATAAGTATTAGTCTACATACCAGGTAAATGCACCATCTGAGGTAAAACTACTATAAGATACTAACTGAATCACTTGTGGAAAAAACTGGTCTCAAGATTCAATGTTGTAGGTCCCAAAACAAAGAGAATTTTAGATATGTTGCATAATGCAGAATTATGAGAAATCTAGGAACAGAGCTACAATTCCAGATCAACATTCCTCAATCTAAGATTATATCAAACATGGAGAAATAGATATAAGAACTTCAGGATAACCAATATGGCAAATTAAGTGTTTAATACTGTTAGTGTGTGTTTAATAAAACTAAAAGCGGAATAACGGATGTTAAAGTTTTCATAACAAAAGCAGATATTGTACAGGCATAATTTTCAAAACTCAATAGGCGAATGTCATTTTAAGATTCAAGAAATTTTGTAGCAAATACTGATTTCCCGTGTCTCACAGAGACACGGAGGCATCGCCTCTGTCACCACCTGGTTGGCGGGAAAATTAAAAAATACCTTTCAGGCAGAGACGGGTCGGGGATGGATGAATGTAGCGTGAATTTTGTGCTGAGCAAGATCTTTGGTAGTGATCACGGCAATACAAGCTGAGAGGTACTGACAAAGAATTGCGACACAATTAAATATAAGCATGAGCAACACCGCATCGGAACTGAGAGGCACACTCCTCTGTGCACGAGGACGGAGGCACGCGTACGAATGCACTACGTTATCGAGCTCAATTAACAAAAACCGCCCACAGACTCTGTTCCCAGACGGCTACAAGCGACCTGAGATCAAGGTCCCGAATCTCGTGCTCAGGTTGAGGTCTGAGGAGGTTTTACGGGACAATTATAATGTTCTTGACGTAATTGACAATGCAGTCTCCGATAGAGTGGGAATTGTGGTGCTTAATGGCGAAGGATCAAGTGGCAAAAAGCTATACGAAGCTGCGTGTTTAGTGAAGTCGGTAATCAGGGACTACGCATACTTGTTAATTGATGAGCGCGTTGACATCGCAGCTGCTGTTAATGCCAGCGGAGTATTGCTTTCTGATCAAGGTTAACATATTCACTTATTTCAACTGTGTAGTGAGCACTCATATTTTGGCCGGATTGCTTAGGAGGTTCATAGATGTTTTCCATTTTTACTGGATGCACATTGAATTTATCATTATAATAATGGCGGTTTGGAGTCCCGAGTGCTTGAATGATCTAGTAGTTGGATGAGCAAATATTTAGAATGTGTAGTTTAATGATCTAGCAATGAAATACTTGGTGCTTAAATAATTCAAGGTACATGATTGTTGGCAGGTCAAGTTATGATTTATCTCACATATTTTCTCTACCTAAAATGAAACTTGATTTAAATGTTATGTAAACTTAGCTGGAAATCAAAGTGTCTCAAATTATAGTCTGGGATTATGAAAACTACAGTAGTGCATGGATTCAACTGGTTTTTTCTGCAACTTTTGTTCAGTTTTTTGTATAACCAAGTAAAGGAAAAAAATGTTTTCATTTTGTCCTTTTTCTTTATGTTACCCAAGTTCCAAATAGATCTTCAAGCTTTATCTATTTATAGAAGTTTATCCAATGTTGATCTCAAGGTAGAGATCATTTCTCAATCATATTGTGTGCCTCCGTGCACGAGAACGGAGGCACGTCGTGCCTCCGTCCCGGCGGTGAGACCTTGCCTCCGTGCACGAGAACGAAGGCACATCATGTCAGCGCTTGGAGGCTCTGGTGTCTCGGTGCAGAATGTGGTTCCGTCGTACAGAGACACATCGTGCCTGTGTCCGTGTGCACACGGCACCAGTAGAAAGGCATGCTGGTGCTTCCACTATGTCTATGTCACAGATGGAGGCAATATAAAACTTACTTCTTTTCCTGCAGTTAAAGAGAATTAATTAAAGTAATTCAATATCTACTAACAGAAAGAAAACAAAGTAGTATTTAATACATGATTACTTTACTTCTTTGATTGAGGTATCCATAAGGGTAAAAGAGAAGTAGAAAAAAATGGTACCATTTTAGTACTATAGCATGAACTATAGTATATTTCATTGTGTTCAAGCTTGTCACGTAGCTTCTCAATCTGGATTGTATATGAAAAAAAGGAAAGACGGGTAGTTAGTAAACCCAATAATGAAATGAAAAGTAATAATTTTATGAAACATATATCTGAACTATTAATTATAAGATAAATCATTGTACTATAATGTAATATGTATCTCTGTCTATGTGCACAGAGATACAAGCATGCTGATGCATTCTGCTATGCATGCACTAAGGTATGGAGTCACATTGATGCTTTTGTGGACGACGGAGGCACATTTTGTACATGGACAGAGGCATGCTCGTCAACATAGAGGCACTATGGTACCTCCATGGACAGAGTACCTCCGTGCATGGAGACACATCATGCCTCCATCCACAAGGCACATTTGTGTGCATGGTGCACCAGCACAAAGGCATGCTGGTGTTTCACCAGCACAAAGGCATGTTTGTGCTTCTATTGTATCCATGATGGAGGCAACATAAAACTTATTTCTTTTCTTGCAATCAGAGAGAATTAATTAAAGTAATTGAGTGTCTACTAACAGAAGGAAAACAAAATAGTACTTTACTACAGGATTGTTTTATTTCTTTGATAGAGGCATTCATAAGGCTAAAAGAGAAGTACAAAAAACAGTGGAAATAAGGGTACCATTTCACCACCATAGTATGAACTATTGTATGTTTTATTCTGTTCAAGCTTGTCATCATGCCGCTTCTCAATCTGGATTGTATATAAAAAAAGGACAGACATGTAGTTAGTTAGTGAAACCAACAATTAAAAGAGAAATAATAATTTTATGAAAGATATATCTCAACTATCAATTTTAAAATAAATTATTGTACTACATTTCTAATAGAAAATATCTCCCAAGTATATAAAGAAAGAGATGCGAAAAATAAGTAATACAATTATTCTTCAACATAAAAAAGTAAAGTATTTTTCTCCATCTCAAAAAATATTATTTTTTATATTTCTTGTTCAGAATATAATATAAATGATATAAGTAATTCAATGAGTGTAACTCTAGCTTAAACATAAAGCATCAATTTATTTTTAGTAAATAGAGATGATTCTAAGTAAGATAGGCTTCATAAATATAGAAATTATTTCTCTATAGAAAAATATGTTATGATAGATATTAGTTTACAAATAATTATACTAAAAAAGAAAGAATAAAGAAATATAGTCAACCTGTAGTTTATTGTAGGCAACATGGTACTTAGGAAACCTTCTTCTAGCCAACCCAGAATTTTTTGCGAACTATCTATCAATATTAAAATATTGTCTCTCACATTATCGACCTACAGAAGTATAATTCAAGAAAGACACTAAAGTTATATTGGTATCTCAATAAGAAGAAAATATAAAAATATCAATAGGCAAAAAGACTAAACCACCTTGTTCTTTACAATTTTAACCATCTTACGTAAATTATTTAGTTGAACAATCTGCTGAAGCATATTCTCTCCTCAATTTTTGCTAATAGTTTTTCCTACTTAAAGCATATTTTTTTTTGAACAACTGCGGTTAAATTGTTGACATATATCTTAAATCAGCCAAGATATGTAGCACAATCTTAAATAGCTAAAAACCAGTGTCAATTGTAAAAATGCGATAGAAGGAAAGATGTTTCGAGTTTACAATCAGAATAAGGAAACAAAATATATTAGACAATGTTTAATAATCTTCAAATAAAAACGAAATGTCTCTCTGTAAAAAGATAAAGTTTGTTGCCATATGTGCCATGTTCATGATTGAAGAGGCAAAGATAAAGGCTTAATAATACTGTAAAAGAGAATCAAAAGAACAAACTAAGGATGTCCAATCTCATTAACATCATGACATATATAGAAATAATAACTTCGAAATAATATTGCAAACTAATAGTAAACTAATTCTTATGGTCATTTGTTCTACAATTGAAGTTTTGAAGAAATTCTAATAACAATTACATTTCAAACGTCATGTTAATCTATATAAAACTCCATACTAATTTTGTATTTTTTCATCCAAAGCTACGTCTTCAGATTTTTTAACAAAAGATAAATATGAAACCGAGATATCTAAAGTTAATTTGGATTCATAGCTCATCAAACAACCAATAAGAGTTTATTTCTTACCCAACGTAATCATCACTTAAAAATCCTATAAAGAAATAAATTTAAGGTTTAACAATATCAAATTCACAAAATCTACAAATATCAAATAACTCGTCCAAAATCATTCCAAATGAATCAGTCAGAAATCAATTTTCGTCAAACAAAATTTATCATAAATAAAGAAGTTTTTCACCTAAGATAACAAAATAACTATACAAAGTTAAAATCCACATAGTTAATTTCTATGAGTATAACAAGTTGTATTGTTATCAATCCTAAAGAAAATAATTAGATGCATAAAACTCAGGAAACGTCTATCAAAACTTTAAATACTAATTATCAATAGATGAATCTCCAAGTTTTAGCATTCACTCAAGGGAGATTTGAGTTTTTATTTTTGAAAAAGAAAATTGTAGTATTGAGCACTATATATATGTTTGATTGATGAATAATGATATCATCACATCACTGTAACAATCCCAAAATATCACCTAGATTACAAAAAATTTTAATACAAAAAAGTTCATCCAACATTAAAATTGCTCAAAGAAATAAAATGTATTAAATACAAAATTACATCATTCTATTTTTCTTAGTACAATAAGTTTGTTCGAATGTCTAACTCACTATGGTCTTTTTTGAATATTGTTTTTGATTTTTTTTTCTATATTCATAAATGTAGAAGAGAGAAGCTAAACAGATACAAGGTGAATTAATTTGTTAATACGTAAGAGAGATAGAGGTTGCGGGGTTGAGAAAAGACACGGAGGCACACTGTAGTTGCCTTAACAGCTTGCCTCCGTACACGCGGACGTAGACACGACGTGCCTCCGTTCTAGTGCACGGAGGCACGCTCTTACTGCATTAACAGCATGCCTCCGTGCACGCGGATAGAGGCACGACTTGCCTCCATTCTCATGCACGGAGGCACGGTGCTGGTGCACGGCACCAGCATGCCTCCGTGCACATGCACAGAGGCACATTGTGCCTCCGCGCACGTGCAACAAGAACATACATTTGCTTTTACAAACACTTCTCTATGAGGGAAAAAATATAAGCTGAAAACATCGTAGATCCAACTTAAAAATACAGCACAACTTGAAATATAGCAACGCTATAACCCATGAACCATTTTCTGGTTTATCATCTAAAGCATCAAAATTAAAAAGATAATTTAGGTTTGTTGAATCAAAGACTGGGAGAAGACCAATGAGCCCAACACGAATTTGTTGTGACAAATATCATTTTCTGGTTTATGCATATGTTTAGAGGTGTCAATCCGGGTGGTCCGGG